AAAAATAAGATAAAGTAATAACTGCTCGGTGTACATTACAATTATTTCACAATATCTTATAACTAACATAATTAAATAATGATGACGATGAATTTAATTAAGAAGTATCAAATTGCAAAAATTACATTGCATTAAAATAAATCAACATAAAACAGAGTTAATTAAAATAAATCATACTCAAACGTAATAATTATTTAATGGAAATCATAATAAAACATAATTAATTAAAATAAATTAAAATTAGCTAATTAGGTCACCAAGTTATAGTGGTAAAAAAAAAACCTGTTAGTCGGGTTCTGATAATAGAGAGGACCCCTTGAATCCCCCTGACCAGTGTCCACCAGTGGTCAGCAGACGTGGGAAGACCTCGACGAGGTCCGCGGACGCGAAGGAACTGAGGTTTCTTCGTTGCGCGCTCGTATTTATGGGCTCGCGGTGGTCGCAAGCTTGCGCGTACAGGTGCGCGGACAGGTGCGCGAACATTGACCGCACTGGCAAAAAATTATTTCTCGATTAATTTATTCGATAATTATAATTGAAATGCATTTTCGTTATGCTTGATTTTCATGTTATTTCGAATCATAGAATCTCCCTGACATCATTTGTACCATGAAATTACGAATCACCCTGTATAGAGGTGAAAAAAAGTATCTCGGTGGCTTGGTACAAAGTGTCCATTTTTAACTTACTTTTTGTATTCCCCCTCCAGCTCTTCGTAATGTGGAGTATATGTAAACGAAACGGGATTATAATTAAAGAAGAAATAAAAGTTTGAGAATCATACGAGAAAAAAGAGCAGTTAAAATCCTATTAAAGTACAGTCTGTTTTATAAATAGTGGGACATTAATAAAATAAAAGGTGTGAGGAAATATTTCATCTCGAAATCATCCTATAGATTCTTCTGTTGTCTGTACAACCTTGAACAAGTTCCCCGACACTGTCAAAATATGGTATATGGGTTACAGAACAACAGGATCGATAAATCCCGGAAATTAAAATTAATTCCCGATGAGTTTAATTTTACTGTAAACTTCCAACCGAATCCGCGAGTGCGCGCGCGCGCTGGGCAGGGTTGGCTGTTCGCGGTGGAAACTTTCCAACCAGTGAAAGTTCGCCGTTTAGCAATTTCGCGTTCGGTGGGGAAATTGATTGGAATATCCTCGAAACTTAGGGATTGAAGCGACGAAGTTTCGCGCGGCGGTCTCGAAAGTAACGCGAATCAATGGGCAACCGTGGAAGTTCGATTGTGATACGAACCACGAGCGACCGCGATTCACTTTTCAGTCGAGTATAGAAGACGGGCGGAAGTGTTTCTCAATTTTCCAGAAATTCTCGTGACGTTGGTTCAGAAAACACTTTCCCCCTCCCATTGTTTTGTTATTGACGCGGGAATGAATATATCAGGCATGAAACGACTGGGATGAACAAACTTCCCAGTGGGGGAAGTTCAGCATCGTCGAAGTTGAATCTTGTCGCGAGTTATTCTCGAAGCCCACCGAGCGGGGGGAAAAAGCGTGCTCGAACTACTGGTAGCTTTCCAGTGAAGAAGGTAGATAACAGCGGACACTCAGCGAGTCAGAAAAGATATCCTGACCACTCCTGTCGCGACAGAATACAAACGAAAACGATTTCAACCCTTCCTGCCTCGAAACTCTCGAATTTCTCGGGCAACGAGGTCGCCGTTAATTAAACGCGATTACAGTCGCCCGCTGCCTTTCGCTGCTGGAAAATATGCAAACTAACCCTTTCTCCGGGCATTCTGTGCCGTTCAAAGCGCCAGATCGCGAGAAACGAGATGTGGGGTGGGTCGCGATGGTGGATTGTATAAGTAGGGCGTCGAAAATCGTCTGACCGGCTGGGTTGGAAAGCGAAGGAGATTTCGAAAGCAGCGTAGATTCACAACTGAGAACACCTATCGTAAATACGCTACGTGTCCCAAACGAGTATTCTTAATCGATTAATTTCCTTACCTTTTAGACAACATAAAACGAACAGTCTCCATTATCAAACCGTGACTATCTCACTGTGATAAGCAAAGTACTAATTCACGCCTGAAACCAGGGGGCTACGATAAAGGTACGGAGGAAGAACACAAAGGCGTTCCAAGATAAAATCGTGTCCACACTTTCCATTAACTCCGTTCCCCCTCCCCCTCCAGTGGCGTTTATTCACCCCTGTGAAAGGGATAGGGAACGTTCCGCGATCGCTTTCTCTTGAACACGTCAGCCTCCCGACAAAGTGGATTTTTACGAAGCGTTCGCGCTTATCTGAATGGGGTGAGGGGATGATCTCGAAGAAACTGGCAGAAAAAGAGGACTCTAGAAGCGTGTGAGACTCCGCATTCCATTCGGTCCCCTTTCATCTGCATATTTCCGTCGGTCTGACATTCATCTTGATTCTCCCTCACTTTTTTCTCCTTCTCTATCCTTTAGAGGGCCCTTAACACTCTCGTTTTTCGCCTATCGGGCGCGCGACATCGGGCCTTGCGTGATATACGCGTCTGAACGACGAATTGTAATTCCTCTCTTTATATTATATTTTTTTCCTCTCGTTCTTTCGGCAACGCGTTCATGGAAAGAAAGGTTGAATTAGAGACAGAGAGCAGGGTGGAAATGAGATTTCCAAGGGCAATTTGAAGCGAGCTTGCCTGTAAAAGGGCCGAAATGGAGGTCTCTGGGTAGGAAGAAGAAGAAGCAGCGACAGGGTCGAGGACTGACGGGATACATGAACGTAGAGAGGAGAGCACAGGGCGAATGGAAATACGGTGGGAAAATGGCGAACGGGAAAAGTGTCGGTGCAGAATGAGCTGCTTTATTATGACTTCCCGGGGAGCGGAATTTATCTCGCGAGAGACCTCTCTCCCTCCACCTGCTTTGATCCGTTTCACGTTCGCCCCGCGGCGAGAGGCGCGCGAGGGCCGATTTGAAGGGAGCTTGAAAGAACAGAACGGAATTTATCTCGCGAGAGACCTCTCTCCCTCCACCTGCTTTGATCCGTTTTACGTTCGCCCCGCGGCGAGAGGCGCGCGAGGGCCGATTTGAAGGGAGCTTGAAAGAACAGGGAAAGAAGGATACGATGAAGGGATGGTAGTGGGGGACTAGTAATGCCGTTGAGGTGGTATGAAGAGCTTTCGTTGGGAGCTTGAGATTACGAGACCTGATTAAGAGTGCGGCGAATGGGGAGGGTTTTTCAAAGGTCTCCAGAGTCTTTTTCGTGACGGTATCATTGACACACGGGGACAGTAATTTATTGTCATCTTACAAAATTATTCGATGGGTGGATAAATATTATCGTGAATGTACAAGTTCAAGGTAATGTTAAGATCAAGGATATATCATGGTCTTACAATATATATGGTATCTGATACAAGTTTTAACCGAAAACGTGACTATGGGGACACCATTGGGATTTACTGAATGTAAGCTTACTATCTACAAAGCATTAGACATTACCTTACGGCGAGATTATTATTATCTTACACGTCGAAACAAATTTACGGAACGATCTAGTAATCCAGTTAATCATACGTGGTGTGTCCAGAAAGTAATGAGAATGTTCTGTCTGTGGACGTTCACTGGCGAATTCAATTTAATAGATTCAATTACACTTGTAACGTAGTCCCGTAGATCGCGGGGTTACTGCAGTCTGCTCGGTACGTTTTCCAGATAAAGGATTAAGGAGAGAGAAATGTGCCGGATTACCTTAAGATGTACAACGTTCGCTCTCTCCGAAGTTTTGGGTTGACTTCAAACGCATTCCCGGTACCCTTACTGCGGCTTAAATCGTTGTGTAATACAGCTTTCCCCACACAATGCACTCCACCCGTTAAATTTATATCTTCTCTTTATTAATAAAGTGGAAAGGACGAATAACGTGTCGCCGCCGGTAATACGATTATTAATCTTCTTTTCGCCTGTCGTCTTTCATTTTTAATAAAATCGTCCCCGCAATTTCGAAAGGGAACCGGAGGCTTTCCGGCGTCAGCGAAAAAGTTCCGCGTATCTCGCATAAATTCGCGGGGAAGCGATGAGGCGATGGAGGGAACGGAAAAATCGCGAGGAAAGTTCGCCGCGCGGTGAAAAGTTCCGCATCCGTTACCGTTGAGATACCGTGGCATTATCGGACCAGCTGGCTGTCGAGGGGAAAAAAATCGGAATTCACCCGTATTTTCGCTCGGTAACTGAGAAAATACGTTTCAATTACTGTCAAAATATGCGATTCCTCGAAAATATTCGAGGGAAATCTGCCCCTTTCGTCGAGTCCGTCGTGAAACATGTCTCTATCCTCCTGTATGCAGTCATTTTGTCGTCTGATAGATCATAGGATCTTAAATCACTGTTATACAATTAATGGTGAAGAGTAAGATCTGGTTATCTGAAGTGTTTAATGATCCTAATTCTGAATTTACTTTAACGAAAATTAAAGGTCATTGGATTGGTCTTAATCTCAACTATTACGCCACGCTAATAAAAATATGTAGTCCCCTTTAAGAAAACTTTGATTCATAGTATTCACTCATTTTAACCAAATATAATAAAGCGTATAAAAATCTAAGAAGGCCATCTCGAGGTGAATCTCCATGAAGGTTCGTCCATAATTATCTCAGATTTGTTTATTACGTGGTACAAAGGGTCTTCAACGGAAGCATTGTCGGCCACAAAGAAATCGTGGAGCCAGTTGCGGTGGTACCAGATAAAAATCGTTTTCCATGGAGCAGGCCCGGTTGTGCCGGACGCTTTAACAAGCGGTTAATTAGTTGGCGAGTGAATGGGCGAAAGAACCGGCGAACGGTATTGTTCGTAGCGTGTGCCGTTTTCACGAGAGAACAAAGGGGGGTTGGGGAAGGGAGAGAGAGCCGTTGAGGATAAGGCAGCGTTTAGCGAGCCATTGGCACGCGGCTCGCTCCTCCCATCCCTCTCTGGGAACCACTTAACCTTAAAACGCGAATTCTCGTTTACGCCCCGCGGAGATTGATAGGAGTTGTTCTGTTCTTTTGCAGGAAGCAGCCTGAGCACCCGCGGGACAACACGGGCTCGCTGTGGGAACGAGAGACGGAGCGCGAGGGGGAAAAAGACCAGAAGAAGTGGAGGGCGGTGGTGATTGAATAATCCCCGGGGAAGCTTAAAAACGAATTCTGGGTCAAGGTGAGCCTCGCCTTTTTCCACCTGGAACCGGGGTCTGAACTTTCGAAATCTATACTTTATTAATTCCGTACATGCTCCGAGAAAATCAAGAATACTCGAGTTCGGGTCTATTGTTAAAGAAGCTCGATTTTCTACCGTGGAGGTTGTTGTGCCGGTGATCTTAAAGAGTTTGAACGAAATTTAATTAGTAGTAGGAACAATTTTACTCTGAATGTACGTTCTGGGGAACTACGAATGTTGAATGTAGACTAAATTTTAAACTCTGGGGCGAAGAAAGTTTGATGGTTATTGATAATATTTGTATCTGAAGACATTTATGAAAGCATTTCGATTACATGTAAATCGAACCGTTTCCGATACGATCAGCAACAATTGTCCCCTTAAAATGTCTGGCAGGTACACCAAGAGAGACCCGACTCCGCGGAACTTTTGAATAAACTTTGATTGCCTGTCGCCAGTGAAAGCGACCGGGAGTTGGCAGCGATCGTTGTCTCCGCCGCTAATTAATTTCAGCTCACCGATTTCTCGGAAAGTTTCAACGAGGCCCGATCCACCGTCACTTCTCACGGGACGTAACCTTGTAGTGAGCCGTGGTGGAGAAAACTAACCGGAGAGGAGAGAGGATAGACGAAGAGAGAGAGAGAGAGGGAGAGTAGACGCGACTGAAGTGCTTGTCGTCGAAATCCACGAAAGCCTCGGGGTCAGATATCAGGCTGGACGAGGCATTTCAAGTTCGCCTAAGCAGAAACAGACTCGTTTCCGTAGTTCACTCGGATTAATTCGGAAAGTTCGGGGATACAACCCTCGAAGGGTTGACCGACAGTGTCGCTTAGATGGACCTTAACAGAGTAATTGGATTTTCATACGTGAAATTCGAGTCTTTTCACTCCACGCAAGTATTTATAATTTAGAACAAAGAAAGGGTTTCTACAAAAATTTCTACGGTATCTCATTGATAAATTTCTTGATTAATTTTAAAACTAAATTTCGTTGACACTGGAATACTTCATAGGACTCTTCCTGTAAGATAATTCAAGTCGAAACGAGGGACGAATGGAATAGCAAACGAAATACAGTAGATGATCGTTGAGTGTTCGAAGGCTCTCCAGCATTGAACATTAAATATTCCATAAACTAATGGCCATATACAGCTGAAACAAATATCATTGGCTTCAGAATTCTAAGCTCTATCACTATGCTAAACCTCACTAAAAGTTAGCGTTACACGTTGGGACCTCTCGTTGCCAGTACCGGGGAGTCTTCTAACACTCATCCATGATTTACGGTACTCTGTATCTCTAATGATAGATATATAATCCCATTGTCCGGTTAACAAAGTCTCCGAATAAATATTTAGAGCTGGTACTACAACGATCAAACCTTTTTCCCCGAGTGGATAAGGCGACGAAAAGAAAAAACCGATAGAAGTAAAATTAATGGGTCTGAGTGCTGTCCAATTAATCATGAACGCGAGCTTTTCCGCCATTGATCATCTCGCTGGTACTGGCATTGCCTTCTAGGCAAGAAACCGACGGAAGTTCAGCCTCCCCAGGGTTACGATGCTCGCGTGTGTCATGCACATACATATATACGGTGTGTATGCACGCGAATCGAGCCGGAGCGAAATTTCAGACCCGGAGATTTCGTCGAACTAATACCCGCGGGGCAAGAAATTGCAAACAAGACCTCGTCGGCACCTGAAATTAATCCTTCGCGTGCAACAGATGAAACGTCGGTTCTACGTAACCCTCGCGGAACCTTTTCGGTTTTCCACAGAAAACGATCATTAGACGGAAGGTCCTTTTAGAAATTATCCGAAAATCAACTGAATATTTAGAGTGATTTTATAATTCTACCGCACAGTGTATAATAGTACAAGCTTCATTAAGTAGAATCAGCAGACAGTAGTCAGACAATGTATCAGATTGTGTTGCATTCGTGCGAGATAAATATTTAGCACTTTGACTGCCAAGTCACTCAAATATCGGTGACATAAACATTACAAAATTCGCCATAAGTGACTTAGTACTTTATCTAAGCATTAACGGGTAGCATCAAGTAGTGTGTTAAAGAATATACGATTTCATTAAAAAGAGAAACAAAATTGACTCTAGGTAACTTCCCGTGGTTGGTTGCCAGGTCGCTCTTATTTCACAGGCTGCTTTCGAGAAGAAAAGAGTGCAGCTTCGAACGTCGAAATTACTCGACGTAAAAAGACGAGCGTGGACGCGTTAGTCAGAGATACGAAAAGTTTCGGAAACGGGTAAAAAGGCAGGTGGATTTTTTCCAAGTGAGTACGTTCTGATTTTCCACCGGAATTACACGAGCCGGTGAATTCTGATCTGGCTAGCGAGAAGAGGATATCTCGTTTCTTTGTTTCACCTGAATCTCGCCAACGTGGTCTCTCCTTGTCCGTTCGCCTCCTGGCGTGCTTAAGCCCCTGATTGGCGAGAAATCAATATCCGTCGAAGACGGGGGCCCGATCGGTTGCGTGAAGATCGAATGAACACGCTTCGTTGGCCTTGACAAACAGTGGAGATTCGTGTTCAATCGTCTCAGTACTCCGCACCGATACGCCGAGAGAAAACCGTTTTTCGTGGCGGATTTAACCCAATAGTCCATTTCGATTTCTGTTCTCTTCCTAATGTTCCGTTCTTTCATGAACACATTCTTCTTCGGAGTGAAATTTTTCTTTCGTTTATTGCGAAACCCCGACTCTCAGATGACAAGAAGTCGATATACAGAAATCGTATCGGCCTGACAGCAGCGAAGGCTTTTGTTTCCCTGTTGGCTTCCGAGGTTTCATTTAATTTTCCTTGTTCTGTATCTGTCATATCGACGTGTCTTTCGTTTCTCCGGTTGGAGGATTTTCGTCAAGCTTGCTTCGTGCGCAACGGGGACAAACTTTGGCACCTGTATGGAACATGTTTTGATAAAACCTTCGGAATTTCCGATTTCATCCGGGCGTAGCCCCCGTTTTACGTGATATTCCAGCTAAATAGTATAGTTGTATGAAATTCTCGAAATGGTTAGTAAAAGTTGTTACGAAGCACCATGAATTAATCCACCGAAAACCGTGCAAATTGAACTCCATTAGCTGTGAAAATAAAACAAAGTTTACATTGTTTTCATGACTTACATTACAAATTCTACTCATGTTGTTAATGTATTTCGTACTTAAATTTAATGTTGCTCTCTACAAATGGATTATAGCTCATTATTATTTACGAAGAAGTGTCTTAATTGAAAATATTCGAAACTGCTTAGGAAATAATGGCTCGTTCGTGCTCCTGATTGGTCCCAAAATTTCCATCCCAGAATACCGAATCGAGCTCTGATTTTTCAACGGGGATCCACGTCTATTTTAGTGAAATCTTGTTCTCCGTGTTCATCTCTCGACGTCGCCGTCGCGTCGTTAAAACGACGTTAGTGCTCTCCACCTACGGGATACACGCAGTTATTTCGCCCCCACCCCACCCCTCAGGAAATTGCTCGTGAAAGCTCGCCGCACGTAAAACCTTTTCCAGCGTGTGTGGTACGGAATAAATTTTTTGAAAGCTGTTGTGCAGCTATACCTGCTCTACCGTTCTCGTACAACGTCGCAGACCGATTGATCGCGTCACAGCATCCACGGAAAAGCATTTCCCGCTTTCTATTTCCCCTTCGTTGCGTAACAAATCGGATAATACGATGTAGACCCATAGAATATTAAAGCGCTCTCAAGGGGAATACGATAGAAACTTGGGAACAATCGATACGGGACTAAACGTTGATGAAACTTTTCGATTCCGTGGATAATGTTATTCGTCGTGATTTATACGTTAGTGGATCAAAGCAAGTCCGACGTGTTCTATCGTTGAATGTACTGAATGAACACTCATCGATGATTTACTGTATTATGTGGACAAATTACGGAATGGTCCAGCTGATAACACCGTTCCTCTTCAACTATTATCCCGCAGTGTTCAGTCTAGATCTGTGGGACGTTTCAATTTCATTGGTCCTACGCGACGTTCGCGGTGCCTTTGACGCGCTAGAGGCTTGTTTCGACATTACAAAATACTGGAACGTTGCCAACCGTAGGACACGGGGAACCGAGCAACTGATAACAACCGAAGACACCACAGTTTCGTAACTTCAATCGTAGTTCACGGTTGGACTGGTGGACTTCGTCGAGCATCGTTTCATTTCACAGGATCCTCCGGATGAATTATGTCTGTATGTCTGGGTATACGGTCTCGTGTAAGCTGGCAACGGAATAGAATGCCGTTTCGATGGCACTTTACGGCGACGGAACTCACGAGAAGCTTGAACCTTCTCCAAAGATCTGAAATTATTCGCGATCCTCAGCGCCCTCGGACTAACTAGTGGATCTAGAACGATTCTATGGAAATTGAAAACATTTCAGATCGAAGGTACTCGGTTCGAGAAGTCGATCTCGTTTCCGCTCAGGAACAGAGGGGGACAAAACAAAATTTTTTCGCTGTTGAAACGCCACGCGGGGGCTCGATGGCTCGCAGCGTGTGCACGCGTTGTGCCTATGGCTTGGTTATACGGGACGGCATACAAAGTGGCCTCTCGTAGTACTTACGGGCCGGTTCTCCATCCACCTAGCACATCCCCGGTTGCTGCAGCTGTGTCAAACATTATGCCGGCAAGCAAAAGCCACTTGAAATGCAAATGTTTGCAGCGGGCGCAATTAAGGCCCTTGTAAAGTGGAAGCGACGAACGCGTTCCGCTGTTAGATCGGCACCGTTCCATCGGCTGAAAATATTGCTCGACGTTTCTGTGCAGAGGGGAGAACAGCGGAATTAGAATTGTGAGAATAGACTGGTTCCTTGTAATTTTGTGTATTATAAATATACAGAATCGAAAAATTCATATCGAAGATTCGTGTCGAGTGAGGTGCAGGTGACTAGAGGTTTTTCAACATGTCTGATCATCACTGACTGTTTCTACTTTCGCAAATATTTATAAACGTGTTATGCCATTCTATTAAT